TTTTTTTTTTTTTTTTTTTTTTGTGGTTCGCGGGCCTCTCACTGTTGTGGCCTCTCCCGTTGCGGAGCACAGGCTCCGGACGCGCCTCTCCCGTTGCGGAGCACAGGCTCATGGGCCCAGCCGCTCCGCGGTATGTGGGATCCTCCCAGACCGGGGCATGAACCCGTGTCCCCAGCATTGGCAGGCGGACTCTCAACCACTGTGCCACCAGGGAAGCCCCCCACAGACATTTTTCTATAAGAAACATAAGCAAACTAAAACCTCACCTCTACAGCTTCCCAGGCCCATTTCCTGTATTTTGGATCATGAGTCAGTCGCCACATGTACATGTAAGTCTCAACAACTTCTGGCCGTAGGATGTAGTATTTTTCATTTTGCCTCGTAGCAATGGCTTCAACACCGCCATCGAATCTGAAAGCTTCTGGTCCCAGTTTCACAACTAAAGGAGATGCAATGGAGGACAAGGGTTATTGCCCTAGACAATGTTTAGTGTCTATAATTTAAATGAAACTAGAAAGTACCTTACAACATTCAAGAGAGGTGCCAAAACAATCATTTTAAGGAATAATTATAAACACTGTATAATAAGCAATATTCAATATACCTTTATAATTTATTCATTGAAGAGAGTCCATTTTAGAAAATGGTAATGATCCCTTATTTTCTTTCATTTAACCACCATTTACTGAGCACTACTGGGTAGGTGCAAAGCACCACCTTATTAGTGAGCTAGAAAATCGGTGGTTGAGAATTCTAAGTCATTATGTCATGAAGGTTATTTAGTATTTGTACATCAAACTCCTATTTTTGGTCGCCAGACTCATCATATATTTCATGGAGATTCTGGGAAGATTAATAATGGTTTATAACATACCAAGTTTCTTTTGTACTGGGACAGAGACTCTCACCCAATGCTATTTACCTAAAGCAGGGCCAATAAGTTAGACAGACTTAACCCTTTATGGCTTGGATTTTTGTTTCTTGGTAAACTAAAGGTAAATATTTTTATATAGAAGAGTAATGCCTCTTAAAGTAAAAATAGAAATTCCTTTAAGATTTTAATCATGATCATCAAGTTTCATCAGGCATGGTGGATGTTCTTTTGATGGCAACAAATGGACAAAATGGACAAAGTTCCTTACTGAATGAAATAAAAAGCACATAGATTGTGTATGAAGAGTAACAGGTACTCACATGTGCGATTGTAAGATTCATGACAGGTACGGGCAATTTCAGCCCCGAGTTGAAGGTAGTGTTGGGTCAGGCCTTCAGGAGCGTCATCTGCCCCAAGGGCAAACATGCCTCCCGCAAAGCAGGTCAGGTGGCCCATCTTGTGTTCCAGGAGGCCCCCTTTCCACTCTGCGATGTAAGTCAGTCCGTTACGTGACTTCCGGATCAAGTGAGTCTCAATTGCCTGAAAGTAATACTTATTTTCAACATTTTGTAATCTCTTCTCAGATTTATACCAAAAACACCACAACATTTAAAAAATAAAAAAAGATAAAACATCACTCACGATTGATTTGAGTTTGTTACTACAAATCCAATTCGACCTGAAATTCCATGTTATTGCTCTCTGTATATGTCCTCTAGTCTATGCCTTATTAGTTTGGTTAGTTAGAATTAACACTGTTGGGCCAGCCCAGTAGGTTTTTCTTGGTTGCATGCCCAAACACTTATAGTCCTCATACTGAAAAAGCTGTTTCCTCTTCAAAGATAGGCCACTGGTATAGTGGTAAGAGCTGCCTTACTGCATTTCCATTTTCACAAATGGAGAAACAACACAAAGCACAGGCTCTACCATGAATGGTGAACAGACCATATTTGTGTATAAAATCCAGGCTGATGGTATTACCCCTCCTTTCTCTCTCTTAGGCTTGGAGGGGTAGCAAAACAGAGTGGGAAAAAGGAGCTGTTCTTGAGTTAATCAGATTGCTTGGCTTCAAACTCCAGCTCTGACAATATCTGTAAACTTTGTGGGTAATTTGCGTACTGTATCCTTAAATCTCAGTGTCCTTATGCATAAAATGGGAATAGTAGTATCCACTGTGAAAACTGCAATATTTTCTTTATAAAGCAGTCAGTACTGTGATTAGCACTTGATAAAGGTCATTTATCATCATCACATCTCCACTGTGGTAACACATGAATTAAATTCCTCCCTAATAATTCTTTTAAAAAGGACATTAATATACAATGAATATTTTTTTTTTTAAAAAGAATAAAGGTCTGTAAATTTGGGAGAAATGATGTTTACAAAAGTGGCTTGTTAAACACCTTTTATTTCTGCCCCAGGACTGGTGATATTCTTTTGAATAAACAAAATAAATAAGCCCTTTTTTTAAAAAAAAAACCAAAATTGTAGTGTAAGTGCTTGGCATTACTATTTTTAATTACTTTAACAGGAAGTACTCCCCTAAACCCCCAATTACTTCTTGGAAGGAGAAGGGCTATGATTGTGTCTATAACTGTTATACTATTATAAAAAAAGAGGATTTTAGGAATCACATTTGGGAATACAGGCATAGCTCATTTTATTGAGTCTTGCTTTATTGTGCTTTGCAGATATTGCATTTTTCACAAATTGAAGTTTTGCAGTGACCCTGTGTCAAGCAAGTCTATCAGCGCTGTTTTTCCAACAGCATTTGCTCTTTTCATGTCTCGGTGTCACATTTTGATAATCCGCAATACTTCAAGCTTTTTCGTTATTATTATATTCGTTATGGTGATCTGTATCAGTGATCTCTAACATTACTATTACAGCTCACTGAAGACTCAGATGACGGTTAGCATTTTTTAACTAAGGTAAGTACATTGTTTTTTTAGACATACTGCTATTGTACATTAAACAACCTAGAGTATAGTGTAAATATTAAGTTTATATGCACGGGGCAACCAAAAATTTCATGTGACTTGCTCTACTGTGTTATTCACTTTATTGCAGTGGTCTGGAACTGAACCCACAATATCTCCGAGGCATGCCTTTAGTAGATAGAGACAAAACTTGTGATACAGAAGAATGAATGAAAATGAATGCATAGGTAGATAAAACCTCTCCTTCCTTTATTGGAAATAAACAAATGAAACCAAGATGGTAAGAAATAAATGAATGCACTACTGTGCACATTAACTGTGGTTAAGCTAATTTTATTGATGGTCTTGTTATTACATTAATATTTCATTCTTATTTAATGCAACTGAACATCTTAGCTATTTATACTTCTCAAAGCACAAATTGCAGTAAAGTCCTTCAAGCATATACTTGTTCATCACCCAAGAAATTATTCTTTCTACATGGCAAGAGTAATAGCTTTTGAGCATGCATTAGAGAAACATTATTACCCTGTTACAGATCCTGAATAAAGTACTATATTATTTTTGGCATGATTCTGACCAAGTTGCTATCTCTCAAAATAAATTACAACGAAGTTCCAAGACTTTTAAAGCGTTTGTGTGGCAATGGGAAAATGTAAATAAATATAAAGGAGGAAAAAATAGTCTTTAGTGGCTCTAAAAAATTTTGTGTCAAGCCTACAGAGAATTGATTAGGAAAAGAGAGTATTGTATGTTTTGTGATTTCATCCTTCTATATTTGAAAAAAATTAGTTGGCTGTGCCTATAGAATCCTAAATGCCTAATACATCACCTGCCCAGGTATCATTCACTCCAATGGACTTTCTTGCAGCATAAGCATTCACCATTATGGATTCTTAGTATGGCCTCCAGATGAGGCCATAACAGCCAGTTGAAAACTCAAAGTATTTCGTTATTAACACAACGAAAGAAAACATGCCACTCTGGGATTAAATGATTTCCAAAATGCACTGGAAGCTAAAACTGATGGACTACATCTCCAGTAACTCAACTGTCCAGAACAATATCGTAAGGCATCCTCTCTTTCATAATAATGATATTTTACAGTACAAGCAATACAAAGAAACTTTACTATGTTAAGACACGACTACTTCTTAAAATCAGAAGCGTAACTGTTCTAGCTTTGCTTTCTATGTTGAAAACACACAATGGATTGAAAGTGTTTTTACTCTTAAGAGAAAGAGGAAACACTCTGACTTCATTTGCTCTTAATGGATTTTCCTGTCAATGGTTTGTCTAAATACAATATGCTAAAAGCTGTGTGGGTATAGTTCTCAAAACGGGAGGAAAAGTATTTCAAAGAGTATTTTAAAGTTGTCTTTCCTGGAACATCAAGATCCTAGGGGGCCACTTTAAAATTAGAATAATTAAAATGTCTGCCAGGACTGTAATTAAAAATGACATAATGGAAACCATACTGCATGGAGAACTCCCTGGTTTAAAACCTGAAACCTCATAGGAATGAAGAAAAATAAACCTGAAGAGGCCATATGGACCGTATCCTAGTTTGCTTTTTTTTTTTTTTTTTTTACTTAGGGGAGACCTGGTTTAATTCAGAAACCGAGAAAATAATTCACCTTATTTCCAATAAATAATCTACACAATTTAAAATGAAAATCAGTTACCTTTATTTGACCATGGTTTAGAGTAATAGTTTTTCCTAAAGCTGGAGTATGTAGTTGTAGAACCACGCTCAAATATGGGGTCATTTTCCTCAACAACACAGGGGCCTTCCCGCGTCTCCTGCATCGGCAGGCGGACTCTCAAGCACTGCGCCACCAGGGAAGCCCCCTAGTTTGCTTTTAATGTTTATCATGTCCTCTAAAGGCTGTGCAAAATGAAGGCCAATGTTCTAACTAAGGTGTCTGGTTCCTATATGTGAAATAGTAAAGAGTTGTGTCTGCTCTACTTAGTCAAGTTCACTACTGACCTTGGAGGGAACCAATGTAATATGAAATCCAGTCAACTAGAGCAGTGCAAGTTGTATTTATATTTAAACGAATAAGTTGGTCTATTGTAAAATCACCCAGAATTCCTTTTAGGGACACTGATTTTAGAACAATGGCAACATCACCGGAATTACAAATATCCATTTTTTCCCCTATGAATTATTATTATTATTAATTTTTGTGGTACGCGGGCCTCTCACTGTTGTGGCCTCTCCCGTTGCGGAGCACAGGCTCCGGACACGCAGGCTCAGCGGCCATGGCTCACGGGCCCAGCCGCTCCGTGGCATGTGGGATCTTCCCGGACCGGGGCACGAATCCATGTCCCTGCATTGGTAGGTGGACTCTCAACCACTGCGCCACCAGGGAAGCCCTATTATTATTTTTTTAAGAAAATTCTAATTTCATATCTAAACTATGTAAGAGGCTGAGCCCAACAGGACATCTCCCACATAAGGCCACTTCTCTAAGATTAGGATATGTAAGTTACCTACCTAACACACAGAAATAAACATAGAGAATTGGGAAAAGGGGGAGACAGAGAAATATGATCCAAATGAAGGAACAAGACATAGCCTCAGAAAAAGAACCAAAGTAGAGATAAGCAATATACCTGATAAAGAGTTCAAGGTAATGATCATAAAGATGCTCACTGAACTCAAGAGAAGAATGGATAAATACAGTGAGAATTCCAACAACAAAGAGTTAGAAAATATAAGGAAGAAACAGAGCTGAAGAATACAATAACGGAAATAAAAAATATATACTAGAAGGAATAAACAGTACGTTAGATGACACAGAGGAATGAATTAGTGATCTGGAAGACAGAGTAGTAGAAATCACACAAAGTTGAACAGAAAGGAGATAAAAAAAGAAATTAAAAAGTGAGGTTAATCTACGAGATCTCTGGCACAGCATCAAGCACACTAACATTTGCATTACAGGGTCCAAGGAGGAGAAGAGGGACAGGAAGGGACAGGGAACTTATCTGAAGAAACAATGGCTAAAAACTTACCTAACCGGAGAAAGGAAACAAACATACAGGCCCAGGAAGCAAAGAAAGTCCCAAACAAGACACACCAAGGCACATCATAATTAAAATGGTAAAAATTAAAGATAAAGACTCTTAAAAGCAGCAAGAGAAGGGCAACTAGTTACCTACAAGAAAACTCTCATGAAACTATCAAATGTCTCCTCAGCAGAAATACTACAGGCCAGAAAGGAGTGGCACAATATATCTAAAGTGATGAAAGGGAAAAGCCTATAACTAGGAATACTCTTCTTAGCAAAGTTATCATTCAGATTTGAAAGAGAGATAAAGAGTTTTACAAACAAGCAAAAGTTGAAAGAATTTAGCACCACTAAATTGGCTTTATAAGAAATGTTAACGGGACTCCTCTAAGCAGAAAAGAAAAGGCCACAACTAGAAATATAAAAATTATGAGAGGAAAAACATCACTGGTAAAGACAAGCAGATAGTAAAGGTAGTTGATCAACCACATAAAGCTAGTAAGAAGGTTAAAAAACAAAAGTAGTAAAATCATATATACCCATAATAAATAGTATGGATACACAAAACAAAAAGATGTAAAATATAACATCAAAAACATTACATGTGGTGGGGGAAATAAAAATGTAGAGTGGTTAGAACATATTCAAGCTTAAGAGATCATCAACTTAAAATAATCATATATACATATACAAACCAAAAACCTACAATAGATACACACACTCAAAAAAGAGGAAGAAACACAACATAAAGCTAAAGACTGTAATCAAATCACAAGGGAAGAGAGCAAAAGAATAAGAAAGAAACAAAAAAGAACTACGAAAACAATGAACAAAATGGCAAAAAGTACATATATATAATAATTATTTCAAGTGTAAATGGACAAAATGCTCTTATCAAAAGACATAGAGTGGCTGAATGGATGAAAAATCAAGACCCATATATATGCTGCCTACAAGATCTAAAGGCACACAGACTGATAGATAAAAAAAGGTTATTCCACGCAAATGGAAATGGAAAGAAATCTGGAAGCAATACCATATCAGACAAAATAGAACTGAAACAAAGACTGTAAAAAGAAACAAAAAAGGACATTACATAATGATCAAGGGGCCAATCCAAGATGAAGACATAATAATTGTAAATATATATGCTCCCAACATAAGACCACTTAAATACATAAGCAAATATTAACAGACATAAAGGGAGAAATTGACAGTAACACAATAATAGTAAGGGACTTAAACACCCCACTCACATCAATAGGCAGGTCATCCAGAAAGAAAATAAGGAAACACTGACCTTAAAATGACACATCAGACCAAAGAGACTTAATAAATAGACAATTTAAGAAAACTGAGATCATATCAAGCAACTTTTCTCACCATAATGCTATGAGACTATAAATAAACTACAAGAAAAACTGAAAAAAACATAAACATGTGGAGGCTAAACAATACACTAGTAACAACCAGTGGATCACTGAAGAAATCAAAGAAGAAATAAAAAAATACCTGGAGACAAGTGAAAATGTAATCACATTGATCTAAAATCTATGGGACACAGAAAAAGCAGTTCTAAGAGGGAAGTTTATAGCAATACAAGCCTACATCAGGAGACAAGAAAAATCTCAAATAAAGAACCTAAACTTACACCCAAAGGAAACAGAAAAAGAACAAACAAAACCCAAAGTTAGTATAGCAGAAATCAGTAAAATAGAGACCAAAAAACCACAATGACAACAGAAAAGATCAAAGAAACTAAGATCTGGTTCTTTGAAAAGATAAACAAAATTGATAAACCTTTAGCCAGACTCATCAAGAAAAAGAGAGGGCCCAAATAAATAAATCAGAAATGAAAGAGAAGCAGTTACAATGATACCATGGAAATAAAAAGGATCATAAGAGATTACTATGAACATTTATATGCCAACAAAATGGACAACCTAGAATAAATGAAAAAATTCCTAGAAATATATAATCTCCTAAAATGGAATTGGAAATATCAATAGAAAATATTAATAGACCAATTACCAGTAAAAAAAAAAAATGGAATCAGTAATCAAAAAAAAAGTTCCAACAAACGAAAGTTTGGAATCAGTTGGCTTCATGGGTGAATTCTACGAAACATTTAGAGAAGAGTTAACACCTATTCTTCTCAAATTATTCCAAAAACTGAAGAAGAAGGAATGCTTCTGAAATTCTATACGGCCAGTTTTACCCTGATACCAAAACCAAAAAAAAAAAAAAAAAAAATACAGTCCAATATCAGTGATAAACATAGATGATAAAATCCTCAACAAAATATTAGCAAACCAAATTCAACAATAAATGAAATGGAACATACACCATGATCAAGTGGGATTTATCCCAGGGATGCGAGGATGGTGTAATATCTGCAAAGCAATCAATGTGCTATACTACATTAACAAACTGGAGAATAAAACTCATATGATCATCTCAATAGATGTAGAAAAAGCTTTTGACAAAATTCAACATCCATTTATGATAAAAACTCTCAACAAAGTAGATACAGAGGGGATATACCTCAAGATAATTAAGCCCATATATGACAAATCTATAGCCAACATCATTATAAATGATAAAAAGCTGAAAGCAAGAAGATCAGGAACAAGGCAAGGATGCCCATTCTTGTCACTTTTATTCAACATAGTTTTGGAAGGCCTAGCCACAGCAAATAGACAAGAAAAAGAATAAAAGAAGTCCAAATTGGAAAGGAAAAAGTAAAATTGTCACTTTTTGCCGATGACATACTATATATAGAAAAATCCTAAAGACACTACCAAAGAAGCAGGACTAATAAATAAATTCAGTAAAATTGCAGGATACAAAATTAATATACAGGCATCTGTTGCATTTCTATACACTAATAACAGACTATAAGAAAGATAAATTAATAAAACAATCCCATTTATGACTGCATAAAAAGTGTAAAATACCTAGGAATATATCTAACGAAAGAGGTAAAAGACTCGCACTCTGAAAAGTATAAGACATCAATGAAAGAAACTGAAGACAACACAAACAAATGAGAAGATATACCATGGTCATGGATTGGAAGAATAAATATTGTTAAAATGACCATACTACCCAAGGCAATCAACAGATTCAATGCAATCCCTATTAAATACCAAAGACATTTTTTATAGAACCAGAACAAATAATTCTAAATTTTGTATGGAACCACAAAAGATCCCAAATAATCAAACCAATCTTGAGAAAGAAGAACAAAGCTGGAGGTATTAGATGCTCTGCTTTCAAACTATACTACAAAGCTACAGTAATAAAAACAGTATGGTATAGTCACAAAAACAGACACATAGATCAATGGAACAGAACAGAGAGCCCAGAAATAAACTCATGCTTATATGGTCAATTAATCTATGATAAAGGAGGAAAGAATATACAGTGAGAAAAAGATAGCCTCTTCAATAAATGGTGATGGGAAAACTGGACAGCTACATGCAGGAGAATCAAACTGGACTACTTTTTCACACCATATATAAAAATAAATTCAAAATTGATTAAAGATTTAAGTGTAGACCTGAAACTATAAAACTCCTAGAAGAAAACACTGGCAGTGCACTCTTTTGACATTGGTCTTAGCAATATATATATAACTATATACACATATAGATATGTGTGTGTGTGTGTGTATATATATATATATATATATTTTTTTTTTTTTTTGATCTGTCTCCTGAGGGATGGAAAATAAAATAAAAAATAAACAAGTGAGACTACAACAAACTAAAAAGCTTTTGCACAGTGAAGGAAACTAACAAAGAAAAAAAAATTGAAAAGGCCACCTACTAAATGGGAGAAGATATTTGAAAATATATTTGATAAGGGATTAATATCCAAAATACACAAAGAACTCATACAACTCAACAAATAACCAGATTAAAATGGACAGAAGACCTGAATAGACACTTTTCCAAAGAAGATGGAAGGCAGAGAGACGGCCAACAGACACATGAAAAGATGCTCAAGATCACTAATCATCAGGGAAATGCAAATGAAAATCACAATGAGATAACATCTCACACCTGTCAGAATGGCTATCATCACAGAAAACAAATAACATGTGTTGGTGAGGATATGAAGAAAAGGGATTCCTTGTGCACTATTTTGGGATTGTAAATTAGTGCAGCCACTATAAAACTGCCATATGATCCAGCATTTCACTTTAGGGTATTTATCTGAAGAAAACAAAAACACTAATATGGAAAGATATATGCACCTGCATGTTCACTGCTGCATTTTTTCCCATAGTCAAGATATGGAAGCAACATAAGTGTTCAAATGGGTGGTTGCCGAGGGGAGGGGGATGAGGGAGCAGGAGGAATAAGTGAAGAGGATTAAGAGGTACAAACCTCCAATTATAAAATAAGCCACAGGGATGCAATATACAGCATAAGGAATATGGTCAATAATACTGTAATAACTTTGTATGGGGACAGATGGTTACTAGACTCATTGTGGTGATAATTTCATAACATACAAATGTCAAATCACTATATAGTACACTTGAAACTAACATAATATCATACAACAACTACATTTCACTTAAAAAAACTAACACAACATTGTTAATCAATATAAAATAAAAATTAAAAAAAACTATTTAAGGAAACAAACACTACATAAAGTATCTTCCTAACACACTACTTAGTACACAGAAGGTAATTCAAATATTTGTTCACTCTCATTCCTCCTCCATCACAAAGGACCTTTGAAAACTATTAATAATCTTCGATTAAATATTAGTTTGGTTAGTTCAGTTTTTTTTTTTTTTTTTTGCAGTACGCAGGCCTCTCACTGTTGTGGCCTCTCCCGTTGCGGAGCACAGGCTCGGAACGCGCAGGCTCAGCGGCCATGGCTCACGGGCCCAGCCGCTCCACGGCATGTGGGATCTTCCCGGACCGGGGCACGAGCCCGTGTCCCCTGCATCGGCAGGCGGACTCTCAACCACTGTGCCACCAGGGAAGCCCGCAGATTTTTATTTGAAAGTACAGTCTATTTATCTCTGGAGGTAAGTTTACTTCAAAGGGAGGTAACCATTACGACTGTCTGTAATCTCGGGCAATTTTAACTTCCTCAATTTTTAGAATATATAATAAATTCAGGATTTTTTCCTCTCCATAATTTTAACTGTGACTCTAATAGGGAACTCATACTTGTTGAAGAAAAATACCCTTTTTAAAATGTGTGAATCTTAACTGAGGTTTGAACCATGAAAAAAATTTTTAACTGCCCTATTAGAACTAAACATTATCAAGTATGATTATTATTGTTATAATTGTATTAGCCCATATTGAACTCTACCTAACTGGAAACATTTTTTAACCCACTCAGGTAGTATTCCATTTTTTCATTAAAGCTTGATTAATATGCAAGTTATAAGTTAGTTGAGTGGCAATGATGATTTAAATTTGGGTTTACCTTAATAGCATCAAAATACATCTTCTTAGCTTGTAGATCTGTCTTGTCAGACATTAACCATGCCTTTAGCAAATATTCATAAAAGCTGTCTCCAAGTCCTCCAACTGATACATGATCTGCAAAGAGAGGGAAATGAATTTTAGACTGATTCAGACTTTAATTCAGATAATGCAGTAAAATCATATTAGTAACTAGGATGCAAAACCGTTAAGTCAACTGCAACTCAATGTTACATTTAAATTCCAACAAATCCCTTGTTTTCAGAAAGATATTCTGAAATGAGCAGATGTGCTGTTAACTAATGTGATATACTTTAAATAATTACCAATATAGTTTTGTAAACATGCAGATAAAAAATATATAATCAACCCTAATTCTAAAACTGTTTCTTTAGTAAAATATACCAAATTAAAATGTTTCACCATATTCAAATATATTTTTAATTGCTTTATCTCTCAATAATAAACTATGTCAAAGCTATGAGTATCATCAAATCTTAAAAAAAACAAAAACAAAACTGGCTTGCAATATAACCAGAAGCTCCTCAGCTTCTTGTATTATAATTTTTATTATTTGACAGGTTTTGTAGTGTTATTAATCTGAAGGGTCAAAATCCTTTGAGAGAGGTAAGAAAGAAGACAGGGCAGAAGTTTTTCTTTTTAATACAGTCACCCCTCCATATCTGTAGGTTCCCCATCAGTAGATTCAATCAACTGTGGATTGAAAATATGATAAAAAAATTCTAGGAAGTTCCAAAAAGCCAAACTTCAACTTGCCATGCACAGCCAAATACTATTTACATGGCATTTACATTGTATTTACATAGCATTTACATTGTATTAGGTATTATAAATAATCTAGAGATGATTTTAAATATCTGGAGGATATGCATAGGTTATATGCAAATACTGTGCCATTTTACATAAGGGACTTGAGCATCCATGAATTTTGGCATCCCTGGGGTCCTGGAACCAATCCCCTGCAGATAGGGAGGAATCAATGTACTCAATTCCTACAGTCCCCCTCCACTGTCATTTATAATGCCAGATCCACTACATATTTATATTATTGCTATACAAACAGTCTTTGACTTATAGGTAGGTAATCCTCATTAAAAGTGAGAAAACTGAGGCTTAGAGGGGCTAAATGAGATTATAACATTGGTAGGTGCCAGCTAACTCTTCAGCCCACACAGGGTCTCAAACTTGGAATCACTTGCTCTCTAACATATAACACTAAATGTACATATTCTTTTGCCTACTGCTTGAATTAATACTGTTACTTTTCAAGCATATTTACCTACAAAAACAGAGACATACTCTCTTTGAAATATCATTCCTAGAATTCATAGAGAATTTGTGCATTAATAAGATAGTCTTATTTGGGAAATCTGCATTTGAAATTTCATAACTCGAAACTAACTTTATGTATCTATTAAAAAAATAAAACCTTTATTAGTTGATTTAGTTACACAAAAGTAGATTGGTTTTTATACTACTATCAAGACAATTTTCTCCTGAGTCCCACCCAACAACTCCACTTGGACTTGGGGACCTAAAATTGAACACAGGTTAAAAATGAATGTATTATCTTTTCCTCCTCAACTTTATCTTAGCCTTGGTCCCTATCTCACTAAGCGGCACCATCATTCTGCCAAGTCTGCACAAGTCAGACATCAAATAGTCATTCTTTACCTCTTCTCTCCTTCACTCCCATATTCAATGAGTTACCGAACTCTACTAATTTTACCTCCAGTGTATCTCTTAAGTCCATCTACTCCTTCCTGTCCTCACTAACATGATTCTGGCCCAAGCTACTACTATGCCCTGCCGGAGTCTGCAATGGCAAATTATCTGGTCTCCTGCACTGTGGCAGCATCTTGCTATTTAAACTTATTAAAATTAAAAAAAAAAATCAGTTCCTCAGCCATACTAGTGCTCATACATGTGGCCTGTGGCTACTGCACTGAAGAGGGAAGATACAGAACATTTCCATCATCACACAAAGTTCTGATGTCAGTGCCACTCCAATCTATTTCCCACATTAATGAATGCCAGAGTAACCCTTTTAACATGTGAATCAGATCAGCCCTTACTTGAAGCCTTCAATGAAGAAGACTGAAATCCTGGGTCTCTGGAGACCTGGGAGGCCCTGTATGACCTCAATCTTCTCTATATTATCAGTCCTGCTCTATCTGCTCTCTGCCCTCTTGCTATATGGTCCCTCTTTTGGTTTCTCAAAACCATCAGGCTCCTTCCCACCTCAGGGATTCTAAAGGCATTGTTCTCTCTGTCTGAAGTGCGCTCCCTGATTCCTTTTCCCTTCATTTAGTAATCCTTACTCATATTTCATATCTGATGCCCACTAAGTTCTCTCATTATACACTTTCTGATAGCACACGTGTACCACACCTGCACTTTCATAAGATGGTGAAATTTTTTTGTCTCCTTCATAAGATTATATGATCCAGGAGGGCAAGGACCAGACCTATTATGTTTCCTAGTCCACATCAGCTCCTAAAAAGCATCTTGCACATAGTAGGTACTCAGTAAAGAACTGATGAACAAAGCAAAATTCTTTTAAGTCAGTCTTACTAAGGACTACACCTATTAAGCCCAGAAGGGCTATATTTTTATTTTTATTTTTTTATATTTTTTATTTTTTTAGGGCTATATTTTCAGTAAATATGGATTTTCTTTTGCAGAAAGTCCAAAATTAGTTTTAATTTTAACGTAAAATTAGTATTTTTATAATTGTAAGGCTGATCCTTAAAATAGCAGTTTGAAGTGACCTTTACAATTTCCTAAATAAATCGCCACAGAAACCTCTGACATTTACAAACTAAATAGACTAAGTACTATCTCATCGATAATAAGCCCTGTTATAAACATGACTGCAGGAGACAAATGCAAGTGATGTGTGGTAAAGCAAATCACTGTCCAGTTACTGTCAAAATAACGGGGACTAAATGAAGTAATAGGAAATGATGGCCATGATCCAGACATGTCCTTTAGAGTTAAAGCAATGAGAGCTGAAAACTAACAGCCAGAAGCAGCTTCATTTTCCTCTCCCTTGGGTTATGATTCTATAATGAAGGAAGAAGCAAGCTTGGGCATTTAGTGATTTTTTTTAAAAAAGGAAAAGGGTTTACATATTTGTTTTAATTAATATTGCTAAGTGCTAGTTAATTTTCTATTTTCCTACCTATAAAATTTTTATATTTGGAAAGAATCAAAATAAAGGAACATAAAGGAACATAGAGGAGAAACAAGAAAAGGTCTTTTTGATAATTTAGCATATCACTCACTAAGCTTCCCCCATGTCTGGATGACTGTCTGTGTTGGCAACAAAGTCCTGTGTAAATATCTTAGTGGCTGTAAGAGAGAACATGCCTGATTTTATCAGCAGGAAAGGACTGTCTACTTCTAGAAAGAACATATATGGTATTCTTATTCCCAAATGTTCTAAACATAATGTGTATAATAGCTACTCAAATATTATGTTCTTTTATAAAAGGGGTAATGTATTCTTTTCTATAAAAGGGGTAATGTATTCTTTTCTTTTCAATAGGATTAGGTCACATAAAAGGATTCCTAATACTTAAAAAGAGAAAAAAATATCAAAAGAATCAAGACAAAAAGGATTAAATACTCATTATCTTCACTTCTTAATTTTATAGACTTCATCTGAATCTGAACTTCTCTCCTCAAAGCAATCCCCCAATGATACTAGTAACACCATATTTTATAGATACACACACACACACACACACACACACACACACACACATAATGTTGTTAGGTTAACTGAAGAAGGGTGATAATTGTTCTGTTTATAAGGCACGGAGCCCCATATTTGGCCTCAACAGTCAAGAGATATTATCATTGACCAGGACCAGATGCTGCCTCTCAGCCACAACTGAGGAGCAGGAGACAGATTGTTCAGAGAGGAAAAACAGAACCATTGTTAAAAGCAGAGGCAGAAAAGGTCAGATTGGATATGGACTGCATGAGTATTCATAAAACTCAAGTAAGCTCCTACTTGCTGTAAGATACTATGTGCTGAGTTAACAAATATGACAAAGTCACTGTCCTCAAAAGTTCTGGATCCATAGGAAGATGGGTATGTATATGAATCATTAGGAAAAGACTGTGATAGGAAAGTACCCAAAGTGTTGGGACAGAGGAGGAAGAAGGGGGTGGGCAGAGGAGAAGCGGGTGCTAACAATTTCCAAGCAGTGTCTTGAAGAAAGCCACCTAGAAGAAATGGAGATTGGGCTGGTTCTTGGTAGAGCCAGAAGTGCAGTAAAAGGGCTGAGGAAACAGCACAAGCCAAGACCTGGATGTGGCCAAGCAGACCTTGATAAAAGAATAAAAAAAAGTGTGTCTGGAACACAGGATGGGGGTGGGGGAAGAGAGACAGGGGACTCATGAACCCTATTTGTTTTTCCATCAGGAATTGGCCCATAAACAATCCAATTACAAAGAGCCCTTTGCACCAGGAAGCATGGCCAAATACGTAGTGTATCGGTGACCCAGAAGGTGAAGCTGGGATGTTCCAGAACAACTGACTCTTTTTGTCCCTCTTCATAGTGACCTCTAAATCCTGTATCACAAGAAGAGAAAAGTAAATCATAGAGACTTTTCTTCAACTTTTGAAATCTTTTGTGAGAAGGAGAACTTTAAAAACGCTTGTCCTTTCAGAGAATCGTATCTAGTTATCTTGAACTCAGAAAGCTACTCAGGTTCTATTTTATCCCAAATACTAGAGTGGCCCTCACACTTCTTAGCCTCAGCACCCTTTAACACTCTCAAAAACGAATAAACACCCTAAAGAACTTGTTTATGTAATATCTATCAATATTTACCATATTGGAAATTAAAACAGAATTTTAAATATTTTATTAATTAATTTAAAGTAATAATATACCCATTATATTAAGATAGATTTTTCATAAGAATATGTTACATTTTACAAAACAAAAATAATTAGTGGGAAGACTGATACCATTTTACATTTTTGCAAATCTCTTTAATGTCTGCTGTACTAGAAGACAATTGGATTTTCATATCTGCTCTACATTCAATCTGCTGCTGTATGTTGTTCTGGCTGAAATATATGAAGAAAATTCAGCCTCACACATTTATACAGTTGGAAAGCAAAGAGTATTTTGATAGTCTTTTCAGATAATTGTGGGTAATTTTTCTTTGGTACTACAACAAAACTTGACAGGTGGTCAAAGTTTTTTAACAGTTGCAATGTGGAGTTAGAAACCACATCAATTAATTTTTGTACTATTACATTAAAATCCATTGGGCCATCTTGCACTTTGAATGCACTTTTTCTCACACATGATTTTATAGCAGCATGCATTGGTCATTTGGAAAATACTGGTTCACTGAATTATGAACATCTTCCAGATGTTGACACATTTGATTATACAACATTGAAAAACCATATTTGTTAATATCATCACCAATCTCAGCAGAACAGTCTTTTAGTGTTGGTGAAAGACATTAAGGTTATGGTGGCAATGTGCAAGCTTTTCAAAATTCTAATTTAAAAAAAAAAAAATTCTAATTTTCATTTAGAAGCTCAAGTTTTACCTTTGGCACAGATACTGTTAGTTTTGCTTGAAGCAACGTGCTCACTTTTGCGACCACGTCTATCAATTACCCAAGTCTGAATAACCAGTTTGTCTTCAGTAGTTCTTTCAAGTAAAAATGGTGACTTGTGAAACAACATGTGGCTAGTTCAGCTTGCAACTCAATCACACGAGTGCTTTTCTATGAGGCAACCACTATTTTTCATCATGCAGCAGAAACACCTTAAGCGTCCTTTCCATTTAATCATACAGAATATTACAATGATGTGTACTCAATGATTGAGATTTACTAGAATCAGTAAATTTTTTGCTTCATTAAGAGCATTCGTGAGTGAAACTGGCATCTTTTTATTTGTTATCTGCAGTGAAGGATATGACCACAGGTATATCTCATTTTATTGCCCTTTGCTTTATTGCCCTTTGCAGAGCAGACACTTCGTTTTATAAAAATTGAAAGTTTGTGACAACCCTGCATTGAGCAAGTCTATCAGCATCATTTTCCCAACACCATTTGCTCACTTTGTGTCTCTGTTTGAAAATTTTCACAATATTTCTTTTTCATTACTATTATATTTTTATGGTCTGTGATCAGTGATCTTTGACATTACTATGACTTACTGAAGGCTCAGAAGATGGCTAGCATTTTTTAGCAATAAAGTATTTTTACATTAAAGTATATACAGTGTTTTTAGACATAATACTACTGCATACTTAATGGACTACAGTATAGTGTAAAAATAACATTCTTTTGTTGTTGTTGTTTTTTACTGGTATGTGGGCCTCTCACTGTTGTGGCCTCTTCCGTTGCGGAGCACAGGCTCCAGACGCGCAGGCTCAGCGGCCATGGCTCACGGGCCCAGCAGCTCCGCGGCATGTGGAATCTTCCCGGACTGGGGCACGAACCCGCATCCCCTGCATCGGGAGGCAGACTCTCAACCACTGCGCCACCAGGGAAGCCCCCTAAACATAAATTTTATATGCACTAGGAAATAAAAAAGAATGTGTGACTAGCTTTATTGTGATATTTGATTTATTGCAGTGGCCTGGAACTGAACCCACAATGTTTCTGAGGTATGCCTGGTGTTAGTACTATCTGGTGTTTCTGCCATGGCTATCACTATGGCTTCAGCAGTTTTGCCCACCATTGCTTTTGCAATGTAACTGCAACTGTCAGCACAGTAAAAAAGGCAGAAAGTCTTAGTGTTATTATAAAAATATAATAAGCTTTGATTGTGTAGATCCCCTGAGAGATTTCAGGGACATCTAGTGATCTGCAGACCACACTTAGGTTAAGTGGCAACCTTGACTATGGTGTTGTGGTCTCAATGCTAGGGCCTTCCATAGACATTATTAACACAAACATACATTTTAGTACATGTTTTCTACTACATTATTCTTTAAGAAAAATACTTCTAAAGTAACAATGAGGCATAATCATCTAGGAATATCATATTTAAATATAAAGAAAAAAACTCAAATTAGAGTAAAATTTCAAGACGTCGCCAACACCTGCGGCACAGCTAGACATCTCACTTAGGATTTTTCATTTGCTCTCAGGTGCTGCTTAATCTACCACTGTTTTTCCAAATCAGCTTGAGAACATTTCGTTCAGCTACTCTGAATCTTTATATGCCTGGTTAAAGTCCCTAAGAATCTGAAGTGAGGGCTTCTAGCACAATACTTTCTTCTATGGTGAAGTTGGCTCTCCTGGCAGGAAACCTTTATCTGCTGGCTTAAAATTGACTAAAGTACCCTGTTTGCTCTTACAATTTCTCAACCCTTAAAGACTCAGTCTGCTCTCCCATCCTGTAGCCAAACAGAAAGAGAAAATGTTATGAAATAGAATACTCTAGCTAATCTGGGTAAACCCTGCTAGTCATTAGCACAAAGGAACAATTTTCTTATCTGTATAACCAGTTTATTATAGGCTAGCATCCCCACAGTACCCTGACCAGATATTCCCTTTCCGATTACCAGCTTTAAATGTGCTTACAGATCATCATGCTCACAGTTATGCATGAAAAATGAACAATCTAGTTCCCCTGGTAACATTTACAGTCTGTCTTATGACAGAAGCCTATTTATTAAAGGAACCATGGTCCCTTTCCCCTTTTCTAAAGATTCTCCAACAAGATTTGTGCTTTTCTTGGTGTTCCTTCTCTCTGTTACTAGAACAGTGCTGGGTATCATAAAGAGCTAAAACAATGCTTAACTTTTTTTAAATTATTAATTACTGAAGTATAGTTGCTTTACAATCTTGTTAGTTTCTGTTGTACAGCAAAGTGAATCAGCTATACATATATATGTATCCCCTCTTTTTCATTTAATTTAATTTAATTTAATTAATTATTTATATTTTTTTGGCCGAGTTGCATCTTAGTTGCGGCACATGGGATCTTTGTTGAGGCATCAGGATTTTTCCTTACGGCACGCAGGCTTCTCTCCAGTTGTGGTGTGCAGCCTTCTCTCTAGTTGTGGCATGCGGGTTTTCTCTCTCTAGTTGTGGCGCAGGGGCTCCAGAGTGTGTGGGCTCTGTAGTTTGCAGCACTTGGGCTCTATAGTTGAGGCGCACGAACTCAGTAGTTGCGGCGCATGGGCTTAGTTGCCCCGCGCCATGTGGGATCTTAGTTCCCCTACCAGAGATTGAAGCTGGGTCCCCTGCATTGGAAGGCGGATTCTTTACCACTGAACTACCGGGGAAGTCCCTATATCCCCTCTCTTTTGGATTTGCTTCTCATTTAGGTCATCACAGAGCACTGAGTAGAGTTCCCTGTGCTATACAGTAGGTTCTCATTAGTTATCTATTTTATACATAGTAGTGTATATCTGTCAATCCCAATCTCCCAGTTCATCACACCACCATCCACCCCCCACCCCTGGTATCCATACTTCCATCCTCTACGCCTGTGTCTCTACTTCTGCTTTGCAAATAAGTTCATCTGTATCAACAATGCTTAACTTTTGACTTACATTGAGCCCATTGTCCACTACTGGGATTCAGATAGTTAGGATAAAGGCCTTGTGGTTTTTCCAGGTTGTTCAGTACGGTTCGAATATTCATTACCTATGATAGAAAATGGAATGTTACTATGAAAATATGAAAAACAAGTTTGGTGCCATTCTTCTCTCTTTCTTGATTACATTTTTCCATGTTAGAAAAAAAAAACCGTTGATTTAAATGATGCAGAATTAGAGCAAAGAGAGTTGCTACCAGCTTACAAAAATAATAACTGTAAGTGAATATAGTCTACCATATGCCAGACACCATGGAAGAAACTAGGATGTATCAGTGGATAAACAAAGTCATTACCATTTTGGAATTTGCATCCAGTGGAGTGAGACAGCTAACAAACAAATAAATATATCAGGTGGTAATAAATGCTATGAAAAAAATACAAAGGAGTAATGGGACAGAGTGATGTGAGGTGGTGAGGCTGTACTCTGTTAGTCAGGGTGGTCTGGGGAGGCTACTGGGAGAGGGTTTCAGCAGAAATTTAAAGGAATGAAGGAGTAAGTCATGCAGAGCAATGGAGAAAGAGCACGTGGGCAGAAGGAAGAGCAAGTACAAAAAAGTCCTGAGAAAAGAGTGGGTTTGGCAAGACCACCAAGGGTGGAGGTGAGGAAGCAAAGGGGAGAATGTCGGAGAGCCTAGAGGTGGCCAGGGCCCACATCTTGCAGGCCTCACAGACCATAATGTGGGCTCATCTTATTCTGAGTGTGACGCAAAGCCATTGAAAACTTGTGTTTTTACAGGATCAGTGTGACTGAGGGGGCAAGGGAGGAAGTGGTAGTCAGATGGCTACTGCACAGTCCAGGTAAGAGATGATGGATCCCTGGACTAGGGTAGCAGCACAGGTAACAGGATACAAAGGATTTCTTGATGGATTGGATCTGAGGTTTACCAAAAAGAGAGGAACCAGGATGACCTCAAGATTTCTGGTCTGAGCCATTGGGTAAACTGAGGCGTCTTTACCCAGAAAATGAAGACGAGAGTAAAAGCCAGTGTAGGGGCTGAGTCTGAGACATTTTAAGTGGGAGTTGTCTGACAGACCTTTCAGTGGAAATGTTGAATAGGTACTTAGCTATAGAGCCTGGAGTTCAGGGGACAGGTTGGAATTGGAATTACAAATGTGGAGTTAACAGCTTACAGACAGTATGTAAAGTCATGAAATTGGATGAAATAATGGAGAGAGTGAATGTAAAAAGAAGAGGCCCCGGTTTGAGTCCTGGGGTTTTCCAATGTTTAGAGGTTGATGTGATAAAGAAGATCCAATATAGGAGACTGAGAAGGAGCACCTGGCAAAGACGGAGGCAAGCCAGGGGCAGAGAATGCCCGTGGAGAAGGAAGTGATCAAGTGTGCCAATGCTGAGAGGGAGAGGGGGAGGGAGAGGGAGAGGGGGAGGGAGACGGAACTGCTACAGGACATGAGCCACAGCAGCCCCACCACCGGGTGACAGAGAACTTGATGGAGGGCACAGACCTCAGCTGGTCAACAGGACTCACTGACCACAGCTCAGGTCTCAAGATGTGGACTTGTTAGTCAAAATGCTCCTAGCAAGAGAGTGAGGAAAGAGAAGGGAAAGGAACTCAGGACCAAGAAGACTGAGAAGGAGCCAGACAGGTAAGAGGAAAAGGTATTATGGAGGGCATTATGCTAAGTGAAATAGGTCAGAGAGAGAAAGACAAATACTCTATGATATCACTTATATGTGGAATCCAAAAAAATACAATAAACTCGTAAATATAACAAAAAGGAAATAGACTCAGGTACAGAGAACAAACTAGTGGCTTTCAATGGGGGGAGGGGAGAGGGGGAGGGGGAGGAAAAGGGAGGGAGAGGGAGAGGTGAGAATGACTACTGGATCTGGCAACACAGCCCTCACTGGTGTGGCTGGGAGAAAAGCCTGGCGGGAGAGCATTCAAGGGAGTGGGAGTCAAGAAGAGAAGATAACAAACACAGACAACTCTTCCAAAGAATTCTGCTGTAAAGGGGAGCTGACAAGTGGGGTGAAAGCTAAGGGCAGAGTGGTGGGGTGATGGGTGTGTTTCTTGAAAATTAGAAACTGATTCAATTGCTACTTTGCATCTGTAAAACACTTTGAGTTTAAAAAGTCTTTCATGTATACGGTTCACATAGTCCACAAAACACTATAGTTTTAGATAAGGGAAAAACTTCAGAGACGTAAAGTTACTTGCTTGAGGTGTAGAGAATCAGACATGTAAGCGAGGCCCTCTTGCACTGAGTTAGAATGGTGCCGTGAAAAGAATGGTTTACAGCCTGGTTAAATGAAATGCTGCATGTAACAAAACTTCATAAAGGGCTACATTAAAATTGGTGGTTCTTTTCCACATTCCGTATTACTAAATCTCCCCAGAGAGGGATATTGTTTCCAACAAGTACTTTTTTGCAGTGCAAGGTATATTGGAGAATCTCACCTTATCAGCAAAGATGGGGTTTCCTGATAAGTAGCTCAAGTGTATAAACTCCAAATGCAGAGTTCCAAATTCTGCCAAAATACTGCTGCCTCCTGAGGCCCAGGGCCAATTCCTTCCAATCCCACTAAAGAGCAGAAGAAAGTGAAGAGTTATGGGTCAGAATGATTCCATTTTTTGCAGCTCTAAGTAGAAGTGAAAGAGACAGCTTTTGAATAATGACACCTCAGTTAACAGTTTGCTCTGTATATTTTAAAATATCCAGTGTTGCTTTCTTTGGCTACTGGTTTCAGGCTTTGATTCCTATCTTCAAATTGAAAATTACTTTTGACTTAAGTCAGAAAGAAGTTGTTATGTGCTTGCTGTTGATGAACAAATATTTTAGAAGGTGCAGGTGCCATAAAGAGATATACACCCATTCCAAGTAGAATATAAAACAAAATCAGACCAAAACACCCCATCATGCTCCATATCCCATATTAAGCCTTTCAACATTTTAATTAATTTCAGTCTGAGAGTCCAGAGACTTTTATAGACATTCACATTATATACAACATTTTTCTTGGATATATTTCAAAGATTCGTTAGTTATATACTCATTCCACCCTGCTTTAAACTTCCTCCCCATTTACTAGACTTCCTTTCTTATGTTTCCCTTCACACAATTTTACCTATTTTCTAAGGCACTCATGTATTCCATGACCTATTTAATCTATGCTCAAGAACTTCTACAAAATTATGTAATTCAAATCTGAAAGAGGTCAAAGGAATAAGCTTAAAAAAGTATTGCCTTGTGGCTCATCTTAGTGAAATGCTTTTTAAAAAGAGTTAGTCCTAAACATACACTGACACAAATACACATAAAGTGGCTCTTGAGACATGGTCATACCCTTGGGTACAGTTTATGTCTGGAGAGCTATTTAAAATGTCAAACACAGGTGATAATTCAAATAAAGTCAATGATTCTCCTGACCAATAAATTCTCTTCCAGAAAACTGAAAACCCACATTTTGGTTTTCATTCAGACTCACATTTACTGCATGCCTACACTTTGCCAGGGACTATGCAGGGCACTGGGTTACAAGGATCCTTATAATGAATAAATCACTCTTAAGGACCTTATAGCGTAATGGGAAAGAAAGACCTAAGTGTAAATAATTCCAATCACATAAAGTAAGTGCCAAGTTAAATGTGTGAAGTGTTCTGAGCACCTAGGGCCAGGACATGCAATCCAACATGGAAGGGATCACAGAAGGCTTCTTCGAGGCGAGTCCTGAGTAGATTCTTGAAGTAGTGAGTGAAGAATGGAGAGAAGGAGAATCTGGACACAGAGAGACACACAGCAGAAGGGCTAGCCAGGAACTTGAGGTAGCTCCTGAGACTGGTGAGTGGAGGGAAGGGAAGGTGGCAGGAGAGAAGGCTGCAAGGTTAAGCTGAAGCCAAACCTTGCAGGCTTGTGGATTTCTCACTTTCCTCTCTTTCTAAGTTGGCCCCATTGACATACTGCTCTTGGTGTCCCCTAGGTTTCCTATCCCCTTTGTTTTTCATTTTACACATTCACAACCCTGGGTAAACCCTTCCAGTTTTGTCACTGCTTCTGCCACAGGCATGCTGAGGATGCTGATGAAAAGGAAAACAATGGTGACAATCTGGTATCTGACACCGTAGGCTGCCACCCTCTTATTCCCTGTTACTTTTTGGAGTAAAATCTAGATTTTGCTCCCAAACACAGATTTATAGTAAACCTAATAAAAAATAAACAGAAATAAAAGACAGAGACCTGAAAACCACATATTCATTTATTTTAGAAAATGCCTTACATTTATTAACTTCTGGGACTGAGAGTCAGTTTTTATTTTCATCGTTGGCTTAGATAAAAGGAATATCCAATCACCCAAATAGGATGAACAGCTACTTTCAACTTTTATTAACACATGGCAAATGCATACAGTAATTGGTCACTAATTTGCTGTCATGACATGTTATTTTTTTATTCCAACCGTTCTATCACTGACCAAAGTCAATAAACCTATTTAGCAAAACTCCAAATTTCTATGATCCAGAGAAACTACAAAAGCCACAATATCAGGGCAAGAGGGAATGATGACCTCACCCTGGAGAAGGAAGAGGATGGCATGCCAAGGAGCCCAGCCCAGTTTCCAGAGCTTCAGGGACTGGTTCTTTTCAAGTTCAGGGTGTTAGAGGCTGTGGCAGCACACTCAGATGTGAAACTTAAGCTGTATATGTACTAAATAAAATTCAAATTACTTTTGTATGCAGGCATTTGTTCTCTGCTATTAATGTGGTTAATCAAGAAAAAATCAGAGATATACTGAAAATTTTTCAATATGTTAAAAAAAGATTTAAAAAGGTTTATATATATATATATATAATCTCTTTGTCTTTGCACACATTCATATCAGAAGGAAAACAGCACTGTATCACTAATTATATAGGGAGCAAAATATTAAAAGCACTAGCAAAGGATATATCATGTGAACAGAAAGGAAGCTGGGTTTCGAATACATATATATTTATATGAAAGTATAGCTCTGGTTGCCATTCTTTCAATCTACAAAATTAATGTTTCAGTAAAATTATAAGATCAATGGTTACACTGGCTCTTAAATGTAAATCAGGGAAGGGTTTCAAGAAATCAGATAGCGCAGCATTATATCTAGATATTAAATAAGGTCATTTGCCTTTTCTTAGGCAAAGCTGCAAAGACATGGAGATTGGCCTGGAAAGCATGAGGCACATGCCATGGGCCATCACAGCTGAAATACCTGTGTGTCGGGGAAGTGGCTGCCTACTTGCACAGCAAATGTGTAGTGAGTCAGAACCAAGTTTTGGTCACTCACAGAACAATTTCTAAGATCTTTTTTGTCTCTAAATTCTATGAGTCTACTGAAAAATCTATATATTTATATGGCTCTAATTTCTTTTTTTTGGTATTTTTATTTTTTTAAAACTTTCTATTTTATATTGCAGTATAGTTGACTAACAATGTTGTGTTAGTTTCAGGTGTACAGCAAAGTGATTCAGTTATACATATACATGCATCTATTGTTTTTCAAATTCTTTTCCCATTTAGATTGTTACATAATATTGAGCAGAGTTCCCTGTGCTATACAGTAGGTTCTTGTTGGTTATCCATTTTAATTGCAGCAGTGTATCCATTTTAAATACAGCATATATAAAATAATATATATGGACAGTGGGCATTTGATATGAATATGGTGAGTCTGTGATAAAGGGAAATGAGTCAAGAAAGATTCTGCTCCCTTGGTCTGGGAGTCAGGGTGCCCTGGGCATCCCATGATACCAAAGGCTAAGCTTTCTAGACCTCTGGCTCAAAATGAATTTAATTTGAGAGAATAGGGGATTTTAAATGTCTTTAACTTTAGTTCTGCTATCATAGTACTTCAAAGGCAATCATGTTCTCTATCTATCTTTATTTTACAAGCACTAATAATATTTTAGAAAAATCTTTTAAAGACAAAATAACAGTTTGTGTTCAGAAACTGTATGTTCCATAAGGCAGGCATGAAAGGGAAGAACATTTAAATATTGCCAATATTGTTATAATGACTGCATTTTAAGCCAAAATGATGACTCAGCATATGGAAATATATACAGACACAAAAAGGCAATTAACATGACTGGGGAGCTGTCAAGTGTTTGGTTCAAAGAATCCTGGAATAGAACTTCAAACTTTGCTATCATTCCAATTTTATTTATTTCGTTTCCTCCAATCTCCAGTTCTTCCATTTTAAATTGGAGTATTATTTAAAACATGTGTCTCAACTTTTAATTTAATTTAAAATTTCACTATTCTACAAAGGTAATATAATTCTTTGAAGGTAAAACATCACATCAGAAAATAACTGATTATGGCAATTGCAATTAGAAACATGTCTTTTAAAAAATTGAGTTGCGGGCTTCCCTGGTGGCACAGTGGTTGAGAGTCCGCCTGCCGATGTAGGGGACGTGGGTTCGTGCCCCGGTCCGGGAGGATCCCACATGCAGCGGAGCGGCTGGGCCCATGAGCCATGGCCGCCAAGCCTGCGCACCCGGAGCCTGTGCTCCGCAACGGGACTGATCCTGTGCATCCGGAGCCTGTGCTCTGCAACAGGAGAGGCCACAACAGTGAGAGGCCCGTGTACGGAAAAAAAAAAAAAAAAAAAATTGAGTTGCTGTGATTCTTTTGAAAGTGTGGATTACTGTGTTGTTGCTCTAGCGACTGTAATTTGAATATGGTTTAGTAGCAGCCGTAATATATATACTTCCTCATTCTACTGCACTCAAAAGCAAGAAGGTATAATTATTTACTGAACTCATAACTCTGATAAGCAATGGGTGTTACGTGTTTTCTCTTCTCTCTCCTGGGAATGGTTAATAGCTCCAGAGGAAGGAAGTACAGTACTAATGATGTTATTCTACACACGTTTGAATCCTGTGGGAGAGCTGCTCTTTTGCCAGAGCTTGTAATGAATCAAGTAGCTGGAGGATTGCTCTGGATTGATGGTATACGCCTTCAAAATAATCTTAAATCTAGGTACCTGAAGTTATATGCTATAGTTACTCCCCAGATACAATTTGGAATATTAACAAAGACATTTATTTACTTAATATAATCAAATGCAACAAATAAAGAATTTACAGAACTTAAACAATTCTAAAAAATTGCCAGATGAATATGTAAGCAAAACATTAAATAGTTCAAAAGTCTTGATTAGCTATAGACTTTCAATTTACTCTTCCTTGCTGCTTGCTCTTCTCTGCAAAATGGGAAATGGACCAATAAAGAAATTTCTTGAGGACTCTTGTCTGAATAATTTCTGATTAGCTGATCAGTAAACAAACTCCTTTTAAGTTCATAGTCCAAAATACAGCTTATTCCTTGTGGCTACGGAGTTAAGAAGTTTGGGAAGAAAAAAATTTCCCATATTCTATATAGCATTGTAAAGCTTTACTTATGTTTGCAAATGATGGGGCACACAGGGATATTTAATTCAAAAGAGCAGATAATCCAATAATATTCCTTTTGGATTTTAGCATAGATTAGGAAAAAAATAATTAGAAAGTTCATGATGATTGTTTCATTTAAATGTATTCCCAAAGCTA